TGTCTGACACTACATTAATGAACACCTTTTATCCAGTGCCGCTTCTCTCCAAAAATCTAACATCTTTGCTATTAATAACAACATATGTTGAGGTAGAAATCCAGTCCCTCTTCAGAACCATTGTAAGCTACTTTAGGTCGTGTCACAAAAGCAACATAGTCCTCTTCTCTTGGTGCTTGGTACTATTCATGTGTACCACTTTTCAGTCTCCAGATCAGCAACCTAATTGGCTATGCACCACTTCAAAAATAAATGGTAATCCCACACAGTGTTTTATCTTGCAGGTCAGCATGGGCACAAACTCTACTTATGTAGAGATTAATGCAAGTTTAAGATTTAAATAAGGAAGAGAGACAACATGCAGGCAAAATACAGAATTGAGATGGTTAACAACCTAAATCATGTCTATATTACAGTCAACTGTAAAGCTGTTTAGTAAAAAAACTAAAATTGTTAATCACTTCTCAAATTGACTGTTTAATGAAATAAGTGAACTAAGTGAACTCCTAATCTTTGGTTATTTGGGACTGTTATTTTAAAGTATAAAAAAAAAAAAAATCAATCTCTTTTATAGGACATTCTTTATTCTACCATAATCTTTTTATATTTATTTACAAAACTACACAGCAGTACGCATATGTCACAGCACCACTATTTGTTTTCAGAGTTGACCTAATGGTAACATTGATTCTTAACTCCTATTTTGGTTTGTAGCACGTGCCTCTGATTACATATATTTCTTTCCCTCATGACAAATACATTTTACAAGACTCCAGCAACAGCATACTGGCAGCAGTCCAGCTCACCAGAAAGATAACTATTGTAATAGCCTTATCAAAAGCAAAATTTGACAAATAGTCTGGATTGTCAAAAAAGACTTATGTATAATTGGGCAAGAAGGGTATACAATGCAATCTCTCTTCCACTCCTATCTTCTCTGCTTTTATAAAGTACTGGTACACAGGTCAAACTAAAATCTCTTAAATTTCTAAAGAATTGTTAGGGTTTAAAGGGGTTCCCAATGAAATACTCCACTTTTCAAAGCTATATTTATTCCATCTCTGTCTATGATAATACAGAGCATATTGAGTGGACTTTCCATTAATATGCAAAACTCTGAAAGACAATACAAAATAAATAGGTAATGGATGTACATTGAGAAGACACACCTCAAAGAGTTCAATCCTTTGACAAATAATCCCCTTTTCTTTTTCACATGCTTGTCCATTTGTACATTCATACTCCAGCTGTTCCCCCCACCCACGAAGAAACGGGTCTTACAGCTCTATTTCAAACATGGCTACTGCAAGACCAGTCTATCTAATATAGCATTGTACCTTAATGCTATATTACATAGTATTTACAGTAATTACATAGTATTCAGTCCCTGAACAGAAGCAAAGGCTGACATAAGCAGGTTAGACATCCTCAGACCATCATGGGCAGCTGATTCTATTCATTAGATGGCATACGAGACTGTATTGATTCAGCCTTCTCTTCAGTCAATTTTAAGTATTGCAGCATGAGAAACCGGACTTGAGACACAGGTTCAGCATTTGTATATTGACACAGGGACACTAGATGATCCACAATGACTTTAAAAAACCTGCTACTGCAACAACAAAAGGTTTTGATACTATGACACATTCATTTTTCATTCAGTGTGATGGAAAACATCAA